CTCATCAAAGAGTTCTTGGTCGATATCTGCGAATATCTTTTTCACATTCAATGTCAAACTCTGAACAGCTTGGTTCCAATGACTCCGTGTGTTTTTTTCCAAAGCTGGGAAGATTATTGGCAGAATCACTTGACGATTCTGTGTAATCAAAGTTCTTATGTGATCATTGTTCCACAAAAACAAGGCACGCTCAGCTACCTGCCAGTAGAAAAGAAGTTAAGACATCTCATTAAGTAAAAGTAACACTAAAATAATAATCCAAAACTCAGATCATAGTTATAAAACCATACTTCGACCAAAAAACAAAAATTATAAAACCATACATACACACGATCTTGCACCATAAAACCATCTTCTCAGTTACGAAACGCTCAAGAGCATTGCATCTGAGTAAGAAAGGGTGCTTAAGTCAGAAATTCCCACATGAGGAACATTGAATCTGCATATCATGCTTGCATCTGAAAAGCAGAAATGCTTATCACCATCTGCCTCCCAAATTGTATACTAGCAAAACTCACCAACTAATGACACCTATAAGACTATCTTCATATAAACTGGCCTTAGGTGCAAATGCAACTTGGACAACTATTACATCAACACATCAACCCGGATTCCAATGAACCACAATCTTGAAGTATCCCAACAGTTCTGAACAAGGGAATATTTTCACTCAACCAAGCAGCACAGATAAATATGCAAAGAAGCATCTTGTGAATAAGGAGACAAAAGCTTAATTTCACATGAAAAAAGTGGAATATTTACAGATTTGTTAGATACAAAAATCCCAACAAAACATCAAAAGCCTCAAGCTTTAACATATCCAATACATCTCACAAAACCAACTGGGTGTCAAGTTGAAAAGGCAACAATCTAGATGAGAATCTAGAAAACTCATCATTATGGAAAACGATTCATTGGAAGAAAGATAATGAAAATTGATAAATATCAGAAATATTAATAAATTATTGAAACATCGTGTCCATGTGCATCCACAGATAACACATGGTAGAAACAAGAAAGCCAGTAAAAGATAAATATCGTTCGAATAGTACCTGAAAATGTGAGCTGTTGAGGCAGTGACCAATTTGACGGAATAGAGGGACCATACAGCGCTGAAATTCTGATGCCTGGGTAGCTTCCAGAACTTCTTCTAGTTCACCAAGGAACATAACTTCCTTCGAACTATTAGTTATGGGCCAATACTTCAGCAGTCCTCGAATCACAGTATCAGCCAGCTTGGCATCTTTCTCCACAAACTGACTGATGCAATATGAAAGTTGCTGATGGTACATAGATACACACTTGGGCTTATGAAGGGGAATCAAGGCACGGACAAGGAACAGCTTGTGCTCTTCCTTCAAAGGCAACGCGAAACCATTGATTATGCTGCCTAAAATTTCAAGCAATTCTGCAATCCCATTGTGCTTCTCAGTCTCAAAAATGAACCAAAAGAAGATATGGTTGATGGCTTTCCTAATGAATGGTCGATGCACCATGAACTTCCCATAAATGCGGTGGAGGATTGTCTTTAAGTATTCTCTCTCTCTTTGGTCCTCAGAGTCAAACAAATCCAGTAGTCTCAACACAAACGAATGGTCAATGTATCTTTTAGCAAGCTTGGCATCCGTCTCTGGCGAAGCCACAAATCTCAATAGAAATTCATACACAATCTGAAGATGAGGCCAAGCTGGTTCCATCATTTGGTCCTCTTCGTCTTGGTCGTACATTTCAGGAAGCTTGTTATCAGGATTAGAAGATGAAAATGTACGAAACAAATTGGCTGCCACCATCTTTGTAATCTCCTGCATTGCCACCTCATTGAACTTTGAAGTTACGGATGAAATGTAATCAACAAGTTCAAGCAAAGTTTGCCGCTTGATGTCCTTCTCCTTGAGATTCTTCGAGGGATCATTAAAATCAAACACAACACAGCACATATTCAATTTCTTAATAAAATGATTCTGCCTTTCTGAACTGGGAACATCCCTGAAGCTCGGCAAAGCCTCGTAGGCTCCAGAAGACAACAAAGGACCCAATTGGGCAGCAATGGGAGCTGATTTCTTCGAGTGGTTGGATTTAGTCGAGCTCGATGAGTGTGGGCCAAGAGTTCCATTGCTCGAGCGTGAAGCGCCTGAACCCAAGTTGGAAGATTTTGATGAAGACGAAGTAGATTTTGAGCTGTGAAATGAATTGGGCCCATTCCCATTGGCCCCTCCGTCATTATACGCATCGTTTTGCGATGATTTTGAGGGTTTCCGAGGTATTTTACCCAATATCTGTTTGATCATATCTACAAAAACCTTGACCCCAAACTCTTTCTAGCTCGGAAACTAATTCAAATCATTGGCATTCTCAAAATCAAATACTACAAGCCATACGAGGTGACAATTTATCAACAGAAATGAAAACCCTATCAGATGAACATGTCCTAGATGATTCTTCTGAGCACAAAATTCTCATAACTTTTTACAAAGAATTTAAATTGAATAACAAATAGTGGGTTCCGAAGAAATTGAAGATATACACAAGAGAAATTGACTTACATTGACTACATGAGCAAAGGGATCCGAGAAAGTGCGAGAAAGAAAACGAGAGAAAATGAGAAGTAAGACCTAGAAAAAGCCTGAGCTGGAAGTCTGGAACTCGGGTCTTCAACTGATAAACCCTAATTAAATCTAATTGCGCACTTAATTTGAAGAGAGAGAGGCAAAAGCCTAAAGCAAAAAAGAATCAAAATTTGAATTAATTAAACAAAAAAGCGAAATGTCTGTTATAAATACAGGAGTATACCCTCTACATGTCTCTGCAATCTAAAAGCTCTTTGTAAAAGACTGTAACTTTGCTTTTATCGTTGTTTCGATTCGATGGAGAAAACGAAAATGGAAGGGAAACAAGGGAAATGGGAATGGGTGGCTCATTGTGTTGCCATTTACACAAACACCCTTTAAACAGTATTGTCTTTGTTCATCTTTACCTATCTCTACAAAATAAAATTTGGATTTTTTTTTTTTAAATCTTCTTGTTAATAAAAATGAAAAAACATTGACAATAATGTTAAAGACATACAGTCTATTTGGATGAAAAATAAAATTAAGGATTTAGATATAAAAAAATTTATATTATGCATATGTGAGTTAGGCCAGTTGGTTAGGACAGTGAGTCCACCCCACTTGCACTTAAGTTCGAGTCTCTCTCTCGGTTGCACCCAAGTTCAGTTGTCCCTCCTCATAGATAAGATTAATTTAGAGTAGTTTACAATGTCGCTTCTATAAAAAAAATGTTTATATTATTAATTCTTTCTTCTTCTTCTTCTTTTTTTATTTCCTAAATTGTTAATTCTTTCATTATACTTTGAAATTCACATATAAATTAAATTAAATTATATAAAGATGATCCTTCTTTAAAGAAAATGGGTAGCCACCCCATTCATTTTGGGCTTAATTTGAGGTAGAGAAGAGCTTGTTGGGGGAGGGAATGAGATGCACAGATACATTGATAAAAGAAGGTAAAGACTCATATATAGATATACACAAATCGTGTATAGAATGAAATAGGATTAGTTTAATGCACCCAATGGTTGAAATTGTCACGAGTATAACTGTAAAAGGTGAATTGCTTTCTTAATGATAGAACCTGCAAACGTGCACAAGTTAGTGAACCTCTGCCACAGATTTTATATGGCATGGAGTTAGAGAACCTCTGCCACAGATTTTACACACACTTATCAACTTTATGTTGAATAAAATGGAATTTACCTCCATCCCTTTTTCCTTTGTAAAGATGCAATTTAGGCCGTAGGCTATAAGGAAGGTTAGGAATAAGATTTTAAGTTTTTTTAATGTTATCAATTTATTTTCTTTTTCACATGCCACACCATTATTATTATTATTTTAATATAAACGATAGTCTAAAAAAGAGAGATTTTTCACACACACAACAAACTAAAATGCCATGAAAATTCGAACATAAGACATCTTGTTTGCAAGTCAAAGCCTATTTTCTTTTTCAAATAAATATGTGGAGATCCATTGGAAGTGCAAAAGAACATGTTAGGTCTAACAAATTAATACAGTCAAAAGGGCCACTACAAAGTTGGCACCCGGGACCACTCTCAAACATTTAAAACCAAACACACCCTATTATGAAGAGATGTACAAGGAACAAAATTTTAGAATAAATAGAAATGTAGATTAAATAGTCTGGCTGGCCACCAAGATAGGAGATCCAATCATCAACTTGGAATATGGTAGAGCCATCCATAGCATTAGATCAAGATGCCCTCTTAGACATCTCATCTGTTTTCTGAGAACAGTCAATACTTGAGGTCCAATATCAGCAAATCAAGCCACATAACCACACAGAGAGAGAGAGAGAGAGAGAGAGAGAGAGAGAGAGTCAGCAATACACAAATGATGTAAACATGTACCATGGTAGAATGGCTTAATTAAAATGACAATAGAGCTTTGTACTAAGAGCAAGATGTGACTCAACAAGAATCCGGGACATGATTCTTCAAAATCTGAGACATGCACAAATAACATACAACATCGGTTAACCATCATATGGTCGACAAAACCTGCTGTTATGATAATGACAATTCAAGATGATCTTCCGACAGGTGATACGGTTGCACATTCACAGGTCTCTGTTGGTAGTAGATCTTGGGGGAAAATGGCATGAAAATTGGCTGGACCTCAGCAGGCTGATAGAATAGAACACAATTCCACCAGCCCGTAAGATCAACCAGTGGCAAATGATGTGTTTACAAAGACAAAGGCGGGAGCAAACCCATCGGTTAAGCCAAATGGGTGTTCTAGTTACTCCTGAAACTGCACCCACCATGCCTCGGGTTGCACACACAGAACTCTATTCCAAAGCTGCATCTCTGGATCTTGATCCACAGATGCAGCTCTATCAAGAGCTGCCAAAGAAAACCTGCTTCCCCTACTTTTTCTCATCCCCAAAAACAGAAAGACAATGAAACAAGGGGGAAAAAGGGCTAAAAAAAACTAAATCAGTTGCCATTGCATGCATACTAAGTAATGCCAGCAATAAACACATCACAACAAATCCAAGGTTCCTCCTACATCTTTGGTTTGGTGTGTTCTCATGTTTTCTGTGCTTAAATATGATTTTAATGTCTTGCAAGGACAACACAGATCTCAAAGTCATTGCCTAGGTCTAGCACACATACAAACATTGATAAAACTAAAAAAAGCCTTTGGATTGTGCAAGCACAGTATCTTCTCTGCACTGTACATTTCCACAACACACAACACTGGAGCTAATGCCAAAGAAGTTGGATACCTCCTCGCTAAGCATCCCAATCAATAGGTCATCTCTTCCTGCGCTTTGGCTCCACCTAGAATAAAATTTAAAACATAACACCGTCATGGTTAATCAGCCATGGTCCTTCATTGAAGCAAGGAAACCTATAGAAAATTACATCAGAAACAGTCAAAACGTAATGCTCTGGTTAAGACTTCACAGAACAATATTATGCAGTTTTAACAGCATTACCTAAAATTAATTCCAATAACCAGCGCAATATCATCATGACTATAAATAGGACCTCTCTTTCTCTCAAAACTTTAATTTTTCTTTATCCACTATTTATTCCATAGATTAGTCATAAAGTCATCCAACAATGTTGAGCAAGGAAGTCCAAGTATTTTAGGTAAAGCCAACATCTCCAACATCCACACATGTAGAACTCAAGGTCTGTAAACTAATTTCCAAATGAGCTTGGTTAGAAGATTGATGGTAACTCCTTTCCTAGTTTACAAAAAAGGTAGAAGCCTCATTTTTCCAATTTTAAATCGGCATCAATTGAGGAATAAACACTGACTACGAATTTAAGTCATTAAAATTCTCTATAATTCATCTTCTCCTTTTTTTCCTAAAAAAATTTTCAATTGATTATGGCCAGTGATGCAACCTTCAAGCTTAAGAGGTGGGGCAAGGGTTATTCTATATCAAGAATGTCTTGGAATCATAAGAACAAAACACACAGAATTCTCACCTTAGCCTCAACAGATGGTGATACTGGGAATGTATTCAAGGATCTTTTGGCATCATCATCAGATGAGCAGTCAGAACACAAGAAGTGCTCCAACTTTTTTGCATCTTCAATGGTCATACCCATACAAGAGGGATGAAACCTGCAAAAGATGAACGCAAAAAAGGAAGCGTGTCTGTTATTACCATTTATACAATCTTTAATTGTTAGTTTCAAATGAAATCACCAACAAATAATTATGTTGCCAAGGCAAAGGCATTGCCACATTTTATTTTATTTTTAAAAATACCCACCATTACATAGATTGTGGACCTTAATGGGGCTGTCAAAAAGAAATTATTCCACTATTTTCAAGAGTTTTAACAGCAACCAACCACTATTTTGTTCACAATTTGGTCCATCTGATCCTAAATTAATTAAGTAATATGATGGGCTTTGACAAAAGTAACATAAGAAAAGCTTAACGTAGAAAAAGAAAATCATAAAGCACCAATTCAAATTTCCAATCCAATTTCTCTTGATACTGATATTTTTATCAATATTTCCATAAAGAGTTCCCTAATTTCAAACCTTCAATATATCCACTACAATCAGTATTTAAAACCTTTCCTTACATCAAGCTCTCAAGAACCCGCCAAACAATCATCAAACTTAATAAACCAAAATAAGACTGTGCAAGAGACGCACACTATGTTAAGAATAAGAAAACATTTATAGCCTTAAATTCTGCAAATTGATGGTTAGAGATTATTGGAAAGGAAGATAGAAAAGGAAATCAGATGAGCCCCCGCTCACAATACAGCTCACTATTGTTCGTAAAGGAAAAAAGAGAAATAACTAACTTCCAAGTGTTGAAAGCTACTGAGAATGAAGCAGTGCATAGGTTCTGAAACCCACTATGGTCAATAAGACCTGAATATTTGCTGTTAATTAAATCTCGTCGTGAAACATTCCACATGTTTCACCAACTCCAATAAGATAAATGTGAAGCTCAATGTGTTTGCCATCAAGAGGATCTGAAATTTGGACAAACATCTTATCTCATAATCTGCAAAACCTCAGTAGCAAATGAATTTAACGATCATCACCTTCTACAAATGGAATCATGGCACGAGCAGTCACAATTTCCATTTTCTATTCCACACGCTGCTAATTATGAAAGCTTATAAAACGATAATTGCCAAAGCACTCGATGATTAATGGAAAAAAGTGCATTCAAACTTTGAAATGGATGAATAATACCAAGCATAAAAGAAACGAATGGTGTGCATTTACCAGTCCTTGCATCCCTCACACTGCACCATAAGGTCATCCGGATTGTATGGCATCTCACATTTACAATACCTTCAACACAAAAAGCAAAGTAACATAATTTCAAAATCCAACATCACCAATCAAATATACATGTGTGTTTTTCTGTGAGCAGGAAAATAGACAACCAAAGCCAAAAGAACACATTGCTTACACAGCCACGCGGTCTGGTGTGAACCCTCCAGTGGAAGCCTTGTACTCAAACCTACAGAAGTAATCCTCGGCTCCCACATTCTCAAGCTTAGTGTAGTTCTTGAAGGAGTGCACCGTACACTTCCCTTCTATAGTGTGTGCACTCTGCACATCATAGTGGTCTGATAGAAACAGCTCCTTGGCTCCATGGAACTGTCTTCGCCCTCCGATGGACTCCTCAGGTCGATAATACCATCGAACCCGAACCTTCACGTTGTTGCGGTGGTCCGCTTCGATCTTCTCCACGCGTGCCACATATGGAGGCTTATCGGAGTCCGATGGTCGCATTAACACACAATCACCAGCTATGGCAAGCACAAATTCAATCGAAAATCAATGCCACGCATAGCAGAGAAACATGAACCGTATAAAATGTTTTTAAAAAAAATGGAGTCTTCAGCACCAAAAAATTGAAAAAACTAAGATTAGTTATGGGTTTTCCGAGCTTAAAATTGAAATTTTGAATCTGGGTTTTACAAATAACTTGTCTACATATGTAAAGATTGAAATTTTGGGTTTCTCAGAGTTAGATTTAATAAATATCAGACAATCTTGGGTTTTCAGAAGCTGAAACTGGAAACTAAATTCTGGGTTTTTTAGATAGAGAGAGATAAAGATGTACTTCGAACGACTTTGGTGGTGCCCTTGATGGTGTAAGAGTCCAGGTCCTTTTTTCCAGGTTTGGTCTTGGCCATGAATGTTGTGCAGCTCGAAGTTTTGCGATTTCAGAAAGGCAGACAGAGACAGAGACCAATAAGCTGATTTTAGGGAAAATGTGAGCCAAATGAGGCGAGATTGTTGTATAAAGTGAAGAGTTTAACTTAGGGTTTTGTCGATTAGATTGAGGGCTTTAGATGGTAAGGGTTTAATGAAGTAAAAGGAAACCCTAGACGTGGAAGGTTTGAACAAACTGGGAAAGAGCGGAAGAGGAGAGAGCTGGGGAGGCACCAGAGAGAGAGAGAGACGGATGCGACTTGCGAGGATGAACAGAATGTATGGCATATCATCATGTATCATCTCCATCATCATCAACATCATCATCCATTCTTGCATACATTCATGCTCAATTATAATACTAAAATAAATGTGTTTTTCTTTTCTTTTTCTCTTTTGAGTTTATTCTTTATTTATTTTTTTATATTTATTTTGTAAATTCATTTCTTTATTAAGAAAATACGTGGAATATGAACTTTGGAGCTTTTTCAACATTCAGTTGGAAATTGATTACATATTTAATGGTTTCTTATTTTGTATTTAGGTAACTCTCTAGTTTCATTATTTAATGTGACATACATAGTACTCTTCCTAGTTAAAGCATAAAAATTTAATAAATTCAAAATTAGAATTCAAAGTTCAATGCTTAAGAGCAATTCCATCTGACCCTCAGCAACAGGGGCTGGCCCGGGCAAGAGGTGGGGCCTATGAAACCAGGCCAGCCCTCAGGCGAGATGAGCCCGAGTTGAAGGCCAGGTTTGCTGACATCAGCAATAATTTTTTTTATTAACAAAATCTTAAAAAAATACAAAAAAATTCAGATTTTTAAAAAAATAAATACTTAGTCATAGTTTTCACTTCCCACACCAACTCTATACAAATTTATTTCCTCATATCTCATGTGAATAGTTGTTGTCATAGCAATGGGTGAAAACACTACAACCTTTTGTAAGGACAGCCACTATTTATGTGAATAGTAGCTGCCCTAACCCCCTCTTGCCATGACAAAAGGCAAACTGGTGGAAGTGCTCTAAGAGTTAAGTAGAAAGCTATTTCTTACTTACACCTGTTATCATGAGTTGTATAAATACAAGGTCACCAATCTATGACTTTTGACCAAACAAGCCATAATATTTTATTAGATCAATTAAAAATGTATACAGAGAGTCATCTCGATTAGTAATATGACAGACATGGATAAAGCTTCCCAGTGACTAGAATCAGCTCTAGGGCTGAAACGATCTGGAGAAAAAAAATCGCAAAGAACTTATCTAAAAACCCTTATCTAATGTCTAAGTTGTCCTGTATCAAGTCAGTTACATTAAGTATATCAAGTCGGTTACATTAAGGATAAAACCTAGCTGCTAACCGGCATAACTCTCGTAGAGAAACTAGACCACTCAACAAAATCAACAATTTTCTGGGAATTACAAGAGAATACCAGACAACTCATAAAGTTTCTGGACTTTAATAACAAACTACACCAAATAAAAGAAACCAAACAACACCGACTAAAGAAGCAGAACACTTTTCTCTACAAAATGATGCACAACCAAAGCTATCCAGATCCATAACAGAGACAACCATAATTGCCAATAGGAGAGAAGAGAATCGTGGTATGCCAAGGCACGGGAGAACATCGAAAATCCGACGGGGAATAAATTCCTAGATCTAAAGCTTCTCGTTCTAACTCTCATCCACCCCCTGCCACATGTCTTGGTGTGAAAATAGATGGGATTATAGCCAGCCACAACCAAGTCTGCAAAAAAAAGAACATTTTAAATTTAAAAAAAAAAATAAAAGGAGCAAAAGGAAAGCAGGGCAAGAAGGAAGAGGAGGGAGATGGGAAGCCACCGACCCCAAGGGGCCCAGCGACTCCGAGGGTTTCTTCGCTTCTCGCTTATCGCTTGTCGGCTCCGAGGGAAAGTTATTATTTTGTTATCTATGACTTAGAATTTATAAACCTAAGTAACGAATGACAACATTTTTGTTACCCACAAAAAGTACTATAACTTACATACTAATAGCTACTTACCAAATATTATATTAATAGTTTTTCCTCTTATTCTTATTATCTTTTCGGCCAATTTATTTTATTATTTACTCTTTTGCAAACTTTTATCCTTCAATACGATAAAACGTTAGAGGTGAAAGAACTCAATCAACTAAGCTATATTCCACTAACAACAACCTATTACTTCGTTAAATAAAAATATAACCACATTTCATACATGCATGTAAATATGACAACACATTTTATTTTTTTTGGTTAGTTGCATATTTACGTAGCTTTAAACAAACTCATTTTTGAATTCGAGATATGTTATTTGGAAGGAAAAAACTTGACTCCTTAAAACCGAGGAGGAGTTTCTCCTCAAAATAAATGAGATTTTGACATTTCAATTTCATTTAACTTTTTCTTTTTCTAAAAGTCTTTTAATTTTCTTTGTTTAAAAAAAATTGGCAAGTTTCCATTTACTTTGAGAATAAGCTCCTTAATTTTTAGGTAAGGAGCCGAGCTTTTTGGAATATGGTAGGTTTATTGCTATACTCAATTGACATTTTAAAGTTGTATAAGAGGTATGACCCCTACCATTATTAATAATATTTTGTGTTAATAGGCGAATATGGTATTAAGAGTGAAATTTGAGTTTACATAAATAAAGGTTGCGATAAGAATTGGTGCCCCTATCATTATTGATGATAGATGAATTTAGTATGTATGGTGCCATTCTAAACCATCATCATCATCATCGTCATCATAATGTCTAACCAACTTCTTGTATTAGATTTTTCACATCAATAATATTCTATCGCTTATCATAAATAAATAGAAATAGGTCGCTAAATTAATTTATAGGTCAACTTTGCCTTAATTAATAGGAAGACTAAGTTATCAGTAAGGCCTCATTTGAAGAACTAGCTTCAATAATTTACATATCTTATCCGATTTAGATACAGAACTGAAATACAAAGCATGGAAGCAAAGTGGTAACAAAGTCAAACCAACACGTTAGTCTGTCATTTTCGTTAGCTTTTTAACACTCGTGTTTGGTTGTCTCAAATATCTAAATTTTATTTATTTATTAATGTCACAATTTAATTTCAACATTATCATCAATTATTATCTCCCAACACAAACAAGATATTTTAATTAATATCTAAATTTTCCCAAATTAACGTTAATAACCGAACTAAAAAGGAAATAAATAAAAAAACATAGTGGACAAGGTGGTGTGAAATATCACGTGTGATATCGTAGAAAGAGAAGACAGCTTGTTTCAATGTCTTTTGTGTGTGCTTTGTTCCCGTTGTGCATATGCTTGCATACCACTGGACCAAAACCATGCTTGGCCAAGCTAAAATTCTAAATGATGCTAAAGAAATCAAGGTGCTGAAAATATACCAAAACCACATGCTTCTGCTAAAAGCACTTTGGAGAAGCTAGGGGTAGGACCAAATTAGAAGTCTCTGCCCGCCTAATCAAATTAAGAGTGGTCTCAAAATGTCAAGAAGTTAGAGACGTAAATTAATTTGGGTACACCAAATTCTTAACATATATATACATGCACTTAAGCCAAGTGATAATATCAAAGGAGAGTAGATGTGCTGTTCATGGGGAAGGTGAGATTGTTGTCCATGTAGAAGTGGGGATGATGATGAGGATGAGTTGGATCCATCACAGCAAATTGAATATCCTCTGAAGGCTTCCAATGGCGTTTCCTCTGATTGATGAACCAGTTATTTATCTGCTTCAGATCCAGACCAGTAGACTCTGCCAGTGCTAGCTTCTGAGCTTCCTGCATATACAAATTTAACATTCTCTCGTCAGACTTATGTTATGTAACGAAAATATAGATTGAGTACAATATATCGCATAACGTTCTCTTGTAAGACTTAGGCTATCATATAGATACTTATTTTGTCAGATTTGAAGTACAGTTTGGCAAGACAATGGACGAAAACAAAGATTAGTAAAGACCGAGTATAAGGTGTACCGATGGATAGGGCCACTTGTAGTGTCTGCTCCACCAGTCAAGCAACTGATGCCGGGCTTCCTTCGGCAACTTTCCATTCTTTTTCTTCTTCATAAACTCCTGCTTGAGGCTGCCCAGATATCCAGTGTATTTGTGCAAAAGCTTAGCTTTGATTTCCCTATCTTCAGCTCGAGGGTCTATGCAACTCTCATTCTTGGTGGCATCAACCTCTTCTGGAGACCCACTTCTCCCAGCAATATTATCATCACTACTAGCTGACAGATCACGCATGACAAAAAATCAGTGCAGAACAAAATTACTACAGATGAAAATATAAATATGTATATGGTAATTATTAAGTACTAAATCAAGCCTAATGAGGATGCCATTGTTTAATTAGTGGCTATATACCCAAGTTAAGAAGAAAATGAATAACCCTAATCACAGTAAAATCTTCTAAAAGACTTGATCTACCATAATTACCTCAAGCAATCTTCCTGCTAAACTTTACAAGCAAACACCAAACTCAAGTTTTGAATTTCAATTGCTACAGTTTTGAAATAAGCTTAGAAAGAAAGAGAAGAGAATCAGATCAGGACCGTTTTGATAAGATCCATTGTAAAACAGTTCAAGTTGCAGCTGAAGATGCAGGAAAGAAACACTAGAGGAATTACATATATAGATATAAGAAGGTGATGTTGATGACAACCAGAATCTGAGGAAGAATGAACTGTGAGAGCTTGGAGCTGGGAGTCGATTTTGGAGAGGAAAAGCATGGCTTCTTTGAAGGGTTTTGTGAGCTCTTCCTCGTACTTAGTCAGCATCTCGCAGTAGGCCTCCATGAACTGGTCCAGCGCTGGGTCTGGATCCCCTCCTCCTAAACATGCTGCCTCAGAATTGTGAACAGCAGCACTGCAGGCCTGCTCTAACCTAGCCACCACTTCAGGAGGTGCCCCAACCTAATTAATTAATTAAAATTTCCCAAACAACATCAGACAACAAGGACATGCAGACAGAAAACAAACCAAAACCTACGAAAAATGAAAAATAATACATATTCCTTTCATGGACCACATAACTCTCTCAGACCTTGTTTTTAACTGGGTATGTCTCTGGGTCAGAGAGAGAGAGAGAGAGAGATTGAAGATCATGGGGTTTGAAAATGAATTAAACTAGTGTTCACCTTTTGGCAACTGACATAGGAGGCCAAGAGACGAGGGAAGAGAGGATGAGCCATAATCTTGGCTTTCATTCTATCGCTGCAACTAACCATCATCTCCTGATCAGTCGTCTGATGATCACTTTGCAAGTTTGGATGGCTGCAACCCACCATCAAAGGTAGAGAAAGAAACTGTGCCTTACTACTCCCAGTTCTACTAGTGTTGTTCCCAAACCCCATCATCAGACCACTATAAGTAACACCACTATTATTATTACAATTGGTTCCTCCTCTCTCCATCTCTCTCTCCCTCTCTCTCTCTCTCTCTCTCTCTCAGAGTGGCCTGGAAGTGGAACTTCTCTCTTTCTTTCTTTCTCAGCAGAGGAATTGCCACCCGGTTTTTAAGCTAAATCTCCACATGTGACAGTCTTTATGTGTACAGAAAAGCAAGGAAAGAAGGAAGCAAGCCTCCCCTCCAAATTACACACACGGACAAAGACACAGTGGAGGTCTGTCAGAAATTTACATGACTGATATATATATCTGTAAAGGGTTGATAGATTTAGACCTCCCTCGGAAATGGCTACTTTTCTTTTCCTCCTTTCTGTACATAAACAGTACTCTCTCTCTCTCTCTCTCTAGACTCTAGTATAATTTCACAATACATAGAGTGTATTGAAAAAAGAGAGAGTTATATTTTATCAAAAAAAAAAAAAAAAAAGAGAGAGTTATAGTTCTTAAAAAATGAACAGAAGGGTGCACGCGGAGTTGACGTGTACCTCTGCTCAGAATGGAGAAACCTGAGAACCTTTCCTTCCCGATGAGATTAATAATCAAAACTAATTATACTTTGTGATATTATTATTTTCATCTATATATCTATCTCCTCGTTTATTGTACTGCCACTGGTGCTGCGCTGCAGACTGACTGCGTTTGAGACTGCCTTTTTCTCTTCAGTCCTCGGTGGGAACTTGGAAGAAGAGAATAATTAAAAAGAGAAAAAAGGTCCTTAATTAATGTGTTTTTTTTATAGTTAAAACTGTGAATCTAAATGATTAACTTGATTAATAATAGTTTACAAATGCACAAGCAAAACAAACATTTTTTTTCTTTTAGTTCTCTCAACGGAGAGAGCATGGTAATTTATGAGAACTTAGGAAAAAAAAAAAATTATAACGGAAATGACACTGTTTTGTTATTTTCGATCAATAACATAATCACACGTGAAATCATTAGTTCACATGCTATTGTACTATTAGTCTGAAATAACAAAAAGTGTTATTTTCGTTCGAATTAATGTAGAAAGATTAATGGCCGGCCTATGGTGTTTGGTCCAACCATCTGCTCCCCTCGTGGCCTACTCTGCTGTGCTTATGATTGATGGGTAAATGATCAAGATGTCAACCGTCCATCTTGGTGATCGATGGTATTTCATAATCTATCCGACCATTTTAATATTCTCTGGTGATTTTGGATTGTCCAATACTCCCCTGGCCCTATATCTATATGCATCTCTCTCTTTCTCTGTCTTTAATTAATTTCAGTTCAGCCTTAATCTCCTGCCCATGACTTAATTATCTTCTCTCCAAGTAGAAATAATCCACTAATAATAAGCTAAGATTAAGATCATAGTCACACGTTTATATGCATTTGTTGTGACATGCGTTCTTGGGGAGACTAAGTCGGCATGCACACGACATCGTATTCCTCTTTCTCTTAATGTTTTTTTATTTTTTGATTTAAGCGATAGTTTAAATTACAAGAGGAAAACTACATCTCTCGGCTCTCTCTCCATCTGAATACATAGAATGAAAGTAAAATATCGTCAGGAGCAGTCATATCGTATGGGTCTAATTCATAATAATTTTAAGAACAAAAAGAAGTGGGCTTTGGGGAGCTGTGGAGAGGAGAGGAGAGAGGAAGGAAAAGAGAAAGGTGATGAGAAAGTTAGTGGGACACACTCCAAACGTCCCTTCCATCTCTCTCTGGCTCCAATCTTCTCTCTAGTAACTTTTTGATTCTTGCATTTCATGCCCGCTGTGAAGTTAAATATTACGATATGGAGATGGCAATCTTGCAAACAAGGCCTAGCTAAGCAAAGACCTTCCTGGCATACACAAAGAACCCTCGTACGTACCCCAATGAGAGCAAACAGCATATAATGTACTTTTCCTTACACTGTTGAGAGAAAAAAAGAATGAAGAACTTACTGGGAGAGTGGTATTTTGTGTTTTTATGTGTTTTTATACTGAAATTCAATGTTATACCAAAAGAAACAAGAAGTTGAAAAGAAAATATTATCACAAATGTGGATTATATTAGTTAGCAAGACACCCTTACAATCGAGTTTGAATTCCCTTTTTTGTAGATTATAGTAGTTTAAAATATAACATTGTCAAAAGAAGAAAAACAAATATTGTCATCCACAATCTCATATTTTGAAAAGAAAAATAGATTTTGTTTCCAAATAGTATAGACGCATGCCAAAAATCCCACTTATAATTGGCATGTTTACTTATTAAGAATGGGCGTTGAAATGATCCTAATTCTTACTTTTCATGTGTTTACTAACACATAGGTATCAAAATGATTCCAATCTTTGACTTCCCTTGTGTTTATTAACACATAAGGAATCAAAATTTATATGAATTCCACGTTAAAATATGTAATAAAATTCTCTCAAAATAAGGAATTTGATCATCTAGGAGGGAGTAATTGATCCGATTCCAATTCCTTAAGGAATATTCATTATTATACCCAATATAGGAGCCCTAATTATAAAAATTTAAAATTTTATAAAAAAAACCAAAAAGAAAAAACCCCCTTATAATAAATGAACTTTAGAAACACACCAAATACTCATTTACAACATAACAAAAAGGTTTTTAACTTCTTTTAAATTACAAAACTGCCATTGATTTCTTAAAACGAACTCAACTTCAAAACCTCATAAAAAAGTCTAAAACACTCAATAAGGCATCAAAGTAATTTAATAATAAAAATTAAATTCAATAAGGTTAGCTGTCATTTTTTGGGCTTTTTTTTCGGTATGTTTATAGAAATTAAATAGTGTATGATTTATCTATATTATTAATGCTAAGAATGGATATATCACTAAATATCTCATTCCTTAATTCCCATATCTAAGTTACCCGATCCATTTATTCATCATGTTAACCCCTTCTAAATGGTGCATAAACTGCGGATGCGGGTTGCAAGGTGTCACACATTTCGTGAAATGTCAAAATATGATGTTTGTAGTGCCTTATTTTTGTGCGCCTAACACCATGACAATGGGTTTCGGCCAACCATAATTGTTAACCATCAAATCAGTAGAAGAAAATACAAGACTGACAACAAAATAGACAGCATTAAATGAAAGGCATCTCATCAAATGAAAACTCTACTTCGTATGCTTAGCAAAAACAGATTAGTCATTGCATCAAAAAGCATAAACCGGTTGTTGAATGGTTTCATAGCTAATTTTTCAAATTCCTTACATATAACATAAATTCATCACAGAAAAATAGATCTGTGCTTAGGACACATGTACTTGAATATGGCTCCGGAATTGATGGGTGCAACCTCCTAGAGTTTTTGGATAATAACAGAATTGGCTATACCAGCCTGCTCTATTGTCTGATCCAGATCAGAGAGCTGTTTCGGAGGGAACCCCATTGTCTGCAATCGGTAACTTCTTGCCCCATCAGGTCTTGATGCATCAATAAAAGCATGGATGTCTCTAATTGTATGGTGGTAGTTGAAGCGAGATACCATACGCGTACCATCTGCTAACCTTAGCTGAATAGAGGTTGATGGTAATGACTGATCCACAGTTAAACCCATTGAGGGCAATGGAGCAGCTCTTAGTGGAAGATCAGCAGCAATTGACTCAGAGGTAGCTGCAGCAGAGGTAGAGCTGCTCTCACCTAAAGTTCTTCCAACACCCTGAAAAGCAACATGCCGCTTCACTGGTTCCTGGAACAAAACTAGAAAACATCAGAAAGAATGAACCAGATGCATATTAATAACATATATACAAGTAGGAGAGAACTAAGCACAAACAGGGTATTCTTCCTCCCGCCTCATAAGATTAACATGAACAGCAGTCCTCCTATTGGCTGGCTCAAGTTCTTTTGGGCACTCAGACTTCTTGATGCTCTGCAATCATAATAATGAAAAATTATCAGGACTTAGAAGAGAGATCAAACTAGAAAAAAAATACAAAAGCAAGTAAAATGAAAACCTATAATTGCAACAAAAGGCGAAAGGAGAGCAACTAATCAGAACTTAAGAAATTTGTACACAACAATTAATTGCAATATTTTGAAAGGTTCATTTGGGACAACCTCTAGTTTGGCTACCAACTGTGCTATTTTTCAACAAGCTTATCAAAATAATGAGATCAAAACTTGTGGAAGTAAATTTGAGAAAGATGTTTACTCATCCCGAAACCCCGGTCACGTGACAGTGGCACATGCCTCGAGAATCCCGAGAATACAACGCCCAATCGCCAGAGTGTCATACTCCCAAGTATTTCCGAAACACATTAAGCCATTTTCAGTTGATTTGAAACAGGTTGGATTAGAGTTTTGTTTAGATTTACTCTATATACTAAAAAAAATCAAGTTCATATCAATGCACTAGGAAAAGAAGCTGGTAGACTCATACAAGCGACCAAACCAATTTTTCTTTTTCAGAAAGAATCATAAAATTCGGGAATAATTAAACCCATTATAGAGAAGCTTCATTAAAACTTACTTCCAAGAAAGGTGCATTTTCAGGATCATCCAGCCTCCGCAACGGACCATCATCTACAGAAAACCCATTCCTCCAGAAAGTAATGGTGTGAATAACAACTTCAGGTGGCTGAGGTGCAGCAGTTGGAACAGTCTCCCCTGAAAGCAGTCTAGCTGTTCCAGTAAAACTTTTTGAGCTTGAAGAAGGTTGATGGGGATCTATAGGTCCCTGGGCGGCCGCTAACTGTCTAGCTTGACTGAAAATTGAATCCACATCACTGCCTTTGGTAGGGTCTTGGACAAGCATTCCGCTGGAACCAACAATGACAAATTAAAACTAACATATATTAAATGAACAATTGCAAAGAATAAAACGTGGTAGCAGGTCAACAAAAGCAAGAATGTTGAACCAACTTGACAATGATTGGAATACATTTTAAGACAACTCCTTAACCACAAAACATTGATTCTCGGTCCTACAATCAGGTCCCTGTGAGGCTAATTTCTCTAGGACGTTCTTCAGGTCTAGGACGTTCTTCAGGCCGAGAATAATCTTCCTAGTTC